AAACTGCTCTGGTTCAGAAATGGACTTTTGTCTGGTTGAGAATAGCGGTGAAAGTTAGGCTATGAAGGTGACACAACCCGGTAACTCAGCGACAAATAGCGACGTTTTCGAGAACTCAACACAACAGAAAACGCGGAGACTTCAAATATGAAAGCCGGGCATGATGAGGTTTAAATCAGTTTATTTTGTACCAACAATGCTTGACTTGACACGTAAAATGATTACAACTTCCTTTCATTAAAAAAAATATTGGGAAATCAACTCCACGTGATAATCGAACGAACGTTTTAACTATACAGTGTTACCTTCTTGGGGTGTCACAAGTATTGGCTGTCACCGGTCACTGAATTGCTCGAAACAATTCGGTTAAACTAATGCAAGACACCTAACGAAGCAAACACCAAACGACACGTAGTTGAATGAACTGCAACAATTTAAATAAAATCACAAGGATAGAAAGTCAGTCGTGTCCTCGCCTACCTCTACTTCAAAATGGCTGATATGTCACCATCGTGGTCATATAACTCAAGTTTGATATCGCGCCATAATTTTAACGGAATTCGCTATTCTCAAATGGGCTGAGACCAGTCACGCATATTTGTACGTCACGTCGCACTGGCAAATCTATACCCTCGTGAAGCTACCCAGGTACTCATTTCAAAGGACCTTGGGCGTAAATGAGGTTATCATGGAAAACAGAAGGTAAGAACAAAATATTTTGAGGTAAAGTGGTAGTATTTTACGAGGTTCTACGTCTCTAGCTCCTAGAAAGTATTATTGTGGGTTGTTCATTCAGTTTAAGTTGATGATGGACGCTCCAACAACAAAATTCGTACCATGAGCGTTTACAATTTTGCTATTTATTGCTAGTTTTCTCCTATTTGATGGTCAAAATTTGGGTTTCCTAACAGCGTATCTCGTGCCTGAGACATCTACGATATAATTGCGCATAGATTCAAATAGAGACGGTGAATATGAGTGTCTTAATTGCATCTACAACAATTTCAAGACAGCAAAAGGTCGCCTTCACTAAAGCTTAAACAAGCACTTCGAGCTCTTAAGATATTTTCTACACAGTCAGCGATTTAATCCCGATGTAAACGCAAAATAACAACACTATTCTATAAAAGTAAGCTTGTCAGAGACGTTGAATAAGGTTCATAATTCATGGCAATAAATTGTACAGCACAATCATTTATGAAATCAACAGGTAGTTGAACTCAGGTAAGAGAAGTTCGAGTCAATGCTCAAAACTTGCATGTCTGACTTAACTTGTTCTTTGAAAGCAGAAATTTATTAATTGACTGTGAAAAGGAAAGGTGAACAACCTAAGGCGATTTTTTTCGGTGGGGCGCACATCCAGTTGAAGGAGTTCAACCCTTAACTGGCCACGAGCACAGCCACACAACCAATAAAAAAACACATGACAGAGAGGCTGGTTAAACCGAACGTTTCATTGTCACAATACTATGACAATTAGTCAAAATTAATAACCGCGAGCGAACGGTATTTTAACATACAAGAGTGTCGGCTAATTAAGGTGAATAACTAGGACAAGGGAACACTTGATGAAAAATTTCTCTTCGTAGAGTTTCAAAAAATGCGGTATTTCACACATTAGTTTTAGTGCGTTCAAATTCTATTATTTCTCACCTCTAATTTAGAGACAACTAAGATGGCTCTAAATGATAAGTATTTGATTTATTATTTGATGACGCGATTATCATTTAAACGACTATGCCAACGTTCACACATGTTTAAATCTTCAGCTGAACCAGGATGTACTACAAACTATTTTCTTAGAAGTAAAACGTTCTGTAGGAGGATAGTATTTCTTCCTACCCATAGAAGCAAATATTTCTTGAAATAAAAACTTCAACTCAGTACCACGCTGCAAGTAAGAATTGCTGGGTTGCCTCAGTTTGGTGGAGCTTTAAAAGCAAAAAGACATCGTACACACCTTGTACAATATGTGCTATATCATGTAAACGAAACACTCCTAAAGCCACGGGAAGAAACAAAGTCACACAAAACAGACAAGAAAAGACCACGTCAGAATCAAACAAAAATCTCCTTGGATAAATCTTAATGCATCTTTCGCATTCTATAAAGTAAGGTTTATATCTAACTGACACGAAACAGGACCTAAAGATTTCAAATCTTAAAAGAAATCATTTCCCTCGGTCAGCAGGTAATAGAAAAGCACCTCACAACCGTTGTTCTTTCTCACTAACTTTCCACGCGACAGTTACAGTGAATACAACATAATTTCTCTATCGCAAATTACAATGAGTTAAAGATGTCGCACTACAGAGATGGTATTTTGAGCACCACGCAGTCCACGAAAAAGATAATCCAGTGAGGTAAACAGTTACTATTCTTATCTTCTAGCTTGGACATAAGGCAAGTACGTGAAGAGCTTGTAGTTATCAGGCGAAATATTCAAGAGACATGGCAGGTGATATGGCCTGTGATATGGCCTTGATTTTATAGCTTCTAACTCAATTGGGATTTCATTTCCATTCTTAAAACAAAAAAAGTGAACCATTTTACGTCCTTCTTGAATTTAAGATGGAGCTTCACCTAAATTTCAAATGTTTTCCCTCCTAGAATTACTCGAGACAAACAAGAGAGCCCAGAGGGTAAGTAACACTTTGGATCCCAAGAAAATCTTGTGTATTTCTGAATTCCATGTAGTGTTTTCCTTGTATCCGTTATTTTATACCCCTTTTAAGTGAGACACCGTTGTATAACACCGAATAACACCGTGAAACACCGACATAGCCACAGTTATATAAACTGAACATTCTCTTATTTACTACTAGTTCCACAACAGTACAATTGTATTACGTATGTGAGAATGTCATGAAGCATCCTAGTATGACTTACTTCGAATAAAATGAACTGCCGTGTATCAATCTCAAGTAGCGTGGTTTTTTTTGTACTTATGAAAGATTTGTCTGGCAATGGTGAGTTTTAATGAAAGCGCACACGAAATAAGAACCTGGCGATCGCACATTCCATCATGAACCTCATCAATTGGTCACTTATGATGTGTCTCTTCTTTAAGTTTCCTGTTCGACTTTCCTATAATCTTCTACAAGTTTGCTTCGGCTTTTAAAGAGCAAATCGGGATCAAAAAAGGAAGATAAATGATTAACAGATGTGCATTCTTTTATAGGGACACTGACCTTTATCCTGGAGACGTTCAGGTAAAATGCCAAGTATACAAACACACACAAACACACACACACACACACGCACGCACGCACGCACACAACTATTTAAGAGTTTTTCAAAACACTGAATGAATGTGATTACCTAAACCTCATTATATACTTTCATCTATTTTGGTTTCTTTACCTCGTAGGGATCTGAGACCACAGTGACTGTAAACATAAATACGAGTCAGGCAAAGAATGAACCATCAGAGAACTGATCACGGTTGAAAAAAAATTCGTTTTCAGTCCAATTTGTAATAAAAATATCTGAACTAAACCTTAGACCAAACTTCATCATTGTTTCGCTCAAGGAAAGGATGCCCGACAATGTTTACAAGATACCCCAAATATCGCTCAGGGAGTATTCAGTGAAACTGTCTATTTAATCTTTCCTATTTTTCTCCTACTATCCATGATCCAAAATAAATGATACATTACAAACAACCTCACGCAATATAATTGTTAAAATAACACAAGGGTTCACAATCGCCCAACGGTTTCGCATAAAGCAGATAAATACGTATGTGGGGGGCTGAGATTGGCAAAAAGACGATAAACATAAAGCATTATTACTGCAAGCTATAAGTCTTCAGAATGAATACCACTAGGGTCACCACTTCTTTCTTTTCTTCCACCATAATTTTTTGAGGTCCTAACTATCATTTTCCTTTTTCTCTCTCTCTTCGGTGTCAACTCTTTGGACGTAACACTTCCGAGGTAAATGTAGAACTCAACTTGCGCAGACAATAACTACTTCCGGAGGGAAAAACTCCAACTGCACTACTTTCATTTTCGTTCTCCCATAAACTCAATTAACCGAACTAATATTTTTGTTCTACACAATGATCGGAAGCAAGGCAAAACGACATAAAAATTGACATTTAGCTAAGAGTAAACAAACGTCTTTCGATAGTGAGAAAAATACACAAGTTTTAATTCAAATTTATTTACAAAACATATTTGATACAAGATATTTTAAAACATGGAATTCAGTTTTAAAATGATATGACCGTACTGTGTAAAAGTGCATTTTACGTTTGGAACATAAAACTCTTTTAAGGACCGAAGCAACACCTAGACACAATCATCGTAGGTACATGACTTACAAATAGGAGCAACTGATAGAGAAAGAAATTTGAGTACAAGCGAATCACGGAGTAAAAACATATCGCTCTACCTGGGAGATGGAAGCAACTCCACCATGTGTAAGGCTATTTGTTGTTGTTAGATGACCTTGGTTACTATATACTGAATAATTCGAGATTACAAAGTCTGGCTTAATGAAAGGTCCAAGCCTTTCCTACCTTTCTTATATATGGATGAGGACCGACGCTGACATTCGAACCGAAAATGTCACATTTCAAACAGGTGGTCGAAATCGAAATAGTGAACGTAGGCGCCGATTGATTCAATTATATCTTTAGACGGAGTCATCTTCAGCTGTGAGTTTTTCATGCCAGCAAGTCCGAAAAATCCAATCCAACGTAGTTAGACCATCATATCCAGAGTCTCTGATGTCTTGAAAGTATTTATAAAGTGCTTTACAACCTTGATTCGAGGGAGAGAAGCCAGCTGGATCGGTTCAAGAGATTGAAAGAAGGAAAATTGGGCCCTAATAACATCGTGTAAAACATCACAAGAACATACGGTATAATAACAAAAGCATTAATGACTAATAAGTTCATTGAAATTTCTGATTGGCTGCGATAGAAGTAGCCGTTCAAGTTTGACTGGAAAATATGTGACGCGTCATTCACAGACGCAACATGGCAACTCTAACAAGTTCAAACAAAAAGTGTTCAAATCTAGAATATGGCAGGTGCCATCTTCCAATCAACAAGGCGTTGAAACCTTTCCCAAAGAAGTCAGGGACGAGATAACTTGAGACAGTACATTCCTGGATTTAAGGTAAAAAGGTATTTTGCATTGCCATGCTGCTTAGATAACTTATAGGAAACACGCACTCAAGAAAAACACACATCCATTGATAAAAATAAAGTCATTAGCAAAACCAAAATCACGAAAACTAATTGTTAGGAATTGTAGTAAAGTTCGATTTAGTCGTTAATAACTAAGGTCACACAATATTTAGTTGGCCGCTTAGGTAGGAGAATAATTCAAATCTCAATTTAAGCCGTCACGAAAGGCATGTACTAAAACCCAGAAAAAAAAAACCCATAAAGAATGGTTGGATTTTGACCAAAACTGGCCAGAATGTTCGTCAGATATTCACGCACTAAAGTGTGAGAGGCTTTTCCAAAATTAGAGATAAATCTGTCATGTCCCGGAGCGTGACAATAACCGAAAGATATCACAAAGAAGTCGAATTAATCCGTATAAAATTCCACTGCTGTGCGATAATAAAACTTCCACACAATTCCATCAGTAAGGTGTCAATCTTCAAAGACAAGTGAGGATTTCTCAGTTTCGAAATTGGTTGCTTTGCAATTTCTTTTTTAAACAATGCTCCTAAAAACTTGTATCGATCCAAGTTACGTCGGAGGCTATTGCGGAAGATCAATTGCAAAAAACGGGGATCCCCTCACGGTTTTGCTTTGGCTAGTATTGTAAGAATCTGTGGTCAAATTATTAGGCAATCTGGTAAGTTTTCGTAGTCTCATGATAAGTTCAACGAGGACACTCGCTTAAAATCACAGTAGATTTTTTTCCTCTTCCAGAGTTTTGTAAACACGTCATGCCAATGGATGATAATATCGCTCCCATACTATCATGACTATGGATGACCTCAGGTATGAAGTGTCAGGCCGTACTCCGCTAGCCTGGCTGCAATATCTTTTGGACGTACCCACACTCCATTGCTAACAGTGTCGTATTGAGTGAGTGCAATTGAGAATCCAGCTAGAAAACGATTTACATGCAAACTTTTATTGTGGCTAAATGCCCGACAGTCGGAAATTTTCGCAGAATTTCAACTGAAAGGTTCTTTCAAACTTCTTAAGAAAGTCAGATGTTTGTTTCAGTAGACATGTCAGGCGATTGAAAGCTGAAACTCTTTACGGTGGCCAATTTAAATTATCAACTGAGTTGATAAAACCAAAATTACCTTGTATACTTCCCCACCGACGCAGCACCAAAGTTTTTTTTGAGAAACCTACCCCTTTGATTAAAAGTTAGTTCGCTGTTTTATTAGACACATATTTTCCGAGTTTGCGTGTCCCATAATATCGCTCGGTTGTCGACACTTATTCTACGCTTTTTATTAGACTGTGCGCATGGTTCTATACGCTAATACGCTTATATTATCAGTGAACTGTATGCCTTAGAGGATCAAGGCTACATCCATCAACTTTCCAACTATCCGTTCACGAAATTGGATCTATCTTGGTGTAAGCCTTGAAATACTGGTATAGCCACAAGTGACGATACTAACAGGACCTGCTACGTCTAAAGGATGTGTATGGTTTAAAACTGAAACAAGATGAAGGCTTTAGGCAGTTGAAAAGAACACCTTGACATATTCGAACTCAAAAGATACAAACAAAGGCCGTTTAATAAACATCGATCGCGTCGACCTGCATTCTGGAGAAGTAGCACGCTTCTCTGAGGATCAAAATGCCGACAAGATAAATTGCACCCATATGAACAAGAAAACAACGTAAGTTGCAACTCCACACCTACTCGATTAACTCATATCAACACGAGTTTGAAGTTTTTATCAGAAAGAAAAGAAATCGATCTCGGCTAATCTGCTTTTACAAGATTTTCAGTCAGCATGATTAAAACATAAGATGAAACAATTTACAACAATCCTCTGACAAAATTTCACATATAGCAATAGAATGATTCTCATGCTTCTATGGGTGGTAATAAAACCTGATTTAAGTAGCATCCTACTTCAATTGGATCGCCTCAACGACACTCAAATGAAACTGCAAAAATACCTGCAAGGAGGCAAGGCTGAGGAATACACACAAGAAAGTGCTCAGAACACCTTCATAAAAAACATGTGTGCACGAAAAGCGAAGGTTACGAAGCGATTTGTAAGTCACGCTTTCGCTATTGGGGGAAGAAAGACCTTAATCGTTTTCCCTTTGTTTACTTAAAACCTTTTATCGTTCAGCAAACAACACAAAAGAAATGATGGATCAGTAAACAGTTGCTCATTTGTTTCTCATCAATAAGATCGCAATAAGATCGATCAAGTTTAGGGACAAGGCCAACGTAGTACATTACGTCACCAGGAGACATTCGGTCATGAAAAACCAAATAAATTGTAAGTTAGATTGTCAAATATTCACAGTCATTAATTCCTCACCCCATGGATTTACTTCGAACCAACAAAATGACCAGCTCCCCCTTAACATTTTAGCTCAGTTGGTAGAGCAATGCATTGGCATCGGTCATAGGTTCAACTCCCGACTCTTATCTTTTAGCAAACAACCCAAAGAAGTGATCGATGTGTAAACATTTATTCATTTGTTCCTCATCAGCAAGATCGATCTAATGTAGTGACTAGGCCAACTTACATTCTGTCACAATTAAAGACACTCTCCCATGAAAAACCAAAATAAATTGTCAGCTAGACGCCTAAGGACTGCACATGTGGATTTAGCCTCCTTCAAATTCAAAATATTTAAATCTATCAACACTTTATGTTCTGCCTTGTGCCAAGTTTCAAGCTGGATGTATAAATAATTCTACCCTTACCTGAAAAAATGTTATTTTTAATTTATACATAAAAAATTCCACTGTATGCACTTCTCTACCGTCTGCATCACTGGTCAGCAGGTCTTTTCTGGCCACTCTTTTAAGCCCTTTCACTAACAAGAGCTAGTTACTAAATCAAATTCTCTTTACTATCTGACATACGATTCTCATGACGATAGTTCAGAGAATTTGTTATTGGATCCAATAGTAATCCCCTAATTGATATTTCTCTCTGTTCTTGACACCTGTGTACTTGATATTGCATTGATACTGCATTGATACTGCATTGATACCTTCAGAAAAAGTTTTGTCTTAGTCACCCATGGGAGCTTACTCTTGAAATAGCGAATGGGGCCAAGCCCTTACTCTAGTGTAGCCCTAGAATTACATACCCTCACTGGAGTACTTTTGTTAGGACCATAATGTACTATTAGTTTTAAAATAATATGCAGCAAGTACTCACAGACATATTACATGTCCTATTTTCCTCTTGGTACTAGGAAGGCTGGTGTTATTTGCCATCAATCAAGGCCAGATAAGTATCCTAGAGGTAAAAAAAAAAAAATAAGACTTTAAATTTATAAACTTATCATACTAAACTTGTTAACCTGTTTCTTTCTCTTGGGTTTCACCTATTACATGGAAACTCAGTTCACTAATGTTTAAGTGGTGTTCATTACTACAAAGATCACTCATATTTATTCACTATTGCACAGTTCACATATGTGATTGTCAAATAGTCAGTCATTTATTCATCACCCCACCAGTTTACTTTGAACCAACTAGATGAACAGCTTTCACTTGGCTTTTAAGCTCAGTTGGTGGAGAAATACATCAGCTTTGGTCATGGGTTCAACTCATTTACAGGCCTGAACTTTTTCTTTCTGCTTTAGTTTCACTACTGCTTAAGGGGTATTCATTACTGCAAAGATCACCTACATATTCATTTATAAGTCCACAGTTCACAATTACGATTTTCAGAATATTCACAGTCATTTTGAGAGCATTTTCTTGTGATATATCACAATTTCGACATTGGGTAAATTTAAACCTTTCACTACTTTGAGTCACCAAGACCGGATTTCTCCTCACAATATAAATACAATATCAAGCAGACAAGTAGTGAGAATAAAGAAAATATCAATTTGGGAATTGTTAGTTGATTCATTACCAAATTCTCCAAACCACCATCATTAAAATTTTATGGTAGACTGTAAGGAGAATTTATAATCAGATCTTGGGAGTGAAAGGGTTAACATGCAACCCTTTGTTCTGCCTTTAAACAACAGAGAAAATAACCATCTTTTCTGCTTTAATTTATTATATTGGAAAGCAAAATGGTGAGCAGGAATTTTGAATTCCTGAATACACTAGTTTAGGTAGTAAAACTGACATGTCCATTTACAAGGGCCAGGCAAACCAGTGCATTTCATGACCTTAAGCTTTTAAATAGAGATTCAAAGGTAAAATGTACAGATACTTAAGTTTTAGTGCCACTATCATTTGAAAAATTAAACCAAGAGGGGAAGTTGCTGCTCACAGGACTTTGACCCACAGATCTGAGTTTAGTCTGACCCTAAACAGTCTTAATTAAGGGGTGCATTAGTCTCCACAATGGTAAAGTTTAGCTGCAGACCTGATAAAATTGAGTCACAAAGTAGTTCAATACACAGAGAGTTTTTAAAAGTCAGCCAACCAAGTACATGTATGGGCCCTTTGTGAGTGCACAAATAAATTCGATCACTGGAAGAGCAAATGCAAACAAAGATCTGCAGCAGTATATTAGGCTTGGCTACATCCATAGTAATACATTTGATTCACACCTAACACTCAACTTATTCAATAAAAAGAAAACATTGTGCTAAATGTGGTAAAACCTCCCATGTGAATGCTTAAAAAATTCCATACTCCAATTCCAACTTTCTTTGTGGCCTTGAGGCATGTACAGTCATGTAGTAACAAGAATGCTGTACTACAGAATTACATTCCTGTTTCATTCCCCATTTTGCAGAATGGAATTCAGCAAGAAAGTTCTAGACTAAGTGAGGATCCTTCTCTACGTTGAGGACATTGAGGTAAAATTGTGAAGTGTAAACAATGAACATTAGTCTTTGAGGTCTCAGAATAGCTTTCAGGTTGTTTCTAAATTGCATGTATTTCTACATTCCCACCAAATTGCAATGACAGGTGACTAAAGGCCTGTGTCTAGGGCCTTAAGGTTAAACTCAAATTCAGGGCTTGCAGGTACAAAAAAGCCATAATGTAGAATTGTTGCTTGTCCACACTGTGACAAGCACAGGGTGGACAAGCAACAAGTCTCGTGTCTGGAGTCAGGAAACTCTCTTGTAGTCCTGGACCTTTGAAATTCCCCTGTTCGGTCTCCCTACCATACTCCTTCGATTTGCAGACACTAAACAATTATGTTTCTAAATACTATCAATGGTTGACTACCATGACAAATAACAGTCAGTGTGGTGGTTATAAGCACTTTCATAATGACATTCCAAGAGTCATCTTTCTCTCTAACATATCTTATAAACTATCATTCCATAACAATATTTGCGATATAATTGGCAGCATTACTCCTTATCTATTCTGTCATGGATTAAGCAACTACAGTGAATAGCCTAGCAGTGTGCTGTTGCAAACAAAATGAAACAAAAACATAAGCTTAGGCTGTATTTAAGATTTAAAGGTATTAAACAGTAGATTGACCAACACAATAAGTATAATACTTGCTTTGTGTGCCTCATGCTCAATTTACGTTTCCAACTCATCACCTTCATGATTGTACAATGCATTGAAAATCTGGGGTTCATAATCAAATTGTTAAATAGGGTATCCTGGGTCTGCCAACCCATGGTCAATTACATTTTTCCCACGAATTTAATTTTTTCCCTTTAATTTCTTTTTCTATTTGTTTTCACCAATGCAGTCACTACAGATGTTTGGAGAAGAATGGATACTACTAGGGCATTTTCTAGTTTTGGATCATGCTTTAGCTGCACTTCCACAAACAGGTGTGTTTCGAAGCAATTTTGTGAATTTAATATATCAGTATACAACATGCATACAGGTGAAGTGCTTTTCCACCTGTGGTGATTGGCTGGTTCAGATGTCAATAGCAAGTACTATTGACCTCCGAGCAGCTGATGAGACAAAATCATACACCTTTTGGTATGTTAAGAGAAATAAACTACTTTTTCAGTATTTGTGTGTGAGATACAAACAATTATTCATCTCCATTTTGATGAGTATTATTAGTTGATTATTTCATGTCACTTCCAAGATCTAAATATCATTCTCCACAGTCTGCCAAGCATTTCTTACAACTCAGGCTCTATAAATTTGTTGTTGAATCAAATAGTTCTTCCTATTTGATACTTTTCTTTCTTCTCATCCCTTTGTGCTTGATATTTTGAGGAGACAGTCCTTTTTGGTCACTCCAAAGAGTGAAAGGGCTAAATGTCCTTTCATGGAATAACAAAAATTCAGTGTTTTGAAAGCATTCTTCTCAAACAAACAAACAAACACTATGAACTTATTTTGATCCATTGGGAGTAATTGTTTTTGTTTTGTTTTTTTCTCATCATCATCATTATCATCACCATTGTTACCTAAAAACAGATGAGAGTGGTTTTCATTTTTCATTCACTTCATCAGAACTGTTTCTTTTGAACACAGCTAAACCTCCTAAACCTATATAATCTGTAGAACATGCTTATTTCAGTAACATTTGACAAGTGTCCTCTGTTGAACATCTTTTTATAATGCATGAAATTTCATATTGCATAGCATGCATGTTTGTTTCAGTCAGATACACAAAGCAGTTGAAAATTTACTCTTGAGAGCAGACCCCAGTTATTTAAATAACATGAAACTGTAGATACATTACTGAAAAGTGTTTATTTTAACACTTCCATCAATTTAACAAGTAGATAGCTGTGTCTGCTCAGTAATAGATCACAGATGATGTTAAAATAGGATAAAAACAAAAAAGTGGCACAAGTGCTTAAGCCAAAAGTTACTAATGTTTTTATCACCTTCCAACACAGGGCTCAACACTAACGGTAGCCCACTAGCCACAGACTAGTAGAAATTCAGTTTTGGCTAGTGGTTTTCAATTTCTACCAGCCAGTTTGGCTAATAAACAAATTGAAATTGACTGAACTAGTTTTTCTCTTCTCAAGGAAGAAAAAATCAAACACTTTACTTGGAATTTTATTCTAGGTGTACTGTGTTACTGGGCACATATGCAAATTTATGTCCGATTTAACTTTTAGCTCTGGCACGTAAATGGCTAGCTGAACATGTTATTATGTTCAAAGAAATATATGACCGACAAGAAAGCATTTTTGTTTGTTACAAAATTATTTGAACAAAACATAAGCCATCGCTTTTCTAAGAGATGGATTTCATGGTTTGGGCAATGATCCTATTCTTCGTGGAGTAGCAACTTTAACAGACCACCACGCATGGCCAATAAACAACCGACAACAGATGCTTATTTATGGTGAGGATGCTATTCAGGTTCTGTCAGAGCACTTTGAAGCCCTACTAAACCAAGACCACTTCAACTTGTAGTCCTGCCTTGATGAATGGATGGACCTCAAAGTTCATTTGCAGAGAGTGAGAGGAGAGCTTTAGTATAACAACAACGACTTCTGGAAGAGCAAGTTTCAGATGCAAGGCCGGTACCCCAACTTATTGCTGGTCATTGAGGTCTGCCTTGTTATACCTGTCCAAACTACTTGTTGTGAAAGAGGCAACTCCTGTCTGAACAGAGTTATGTGTGACTTCAGGTCAACCCTTGATGTTGGGACTGTTGAAGTCCTTATGAGAATCTCTGTTAATGGACCAAACCCATCAGAGTATCACGCTTCTTTTGCTGTTGCAAGATGGCTTGACTCTAGCAAGATGGCTTGACTCTAGCAAGAGGGCTAAGCGGCCAACTTTCATGGACTAATTTCAACATTAATTTCTTGCCATATGGACGATGGAATATCAGTATCAATTAGTTTAATCATGTGACATCTCACATTTAATACTGTTGTTGTTATTATTAATATTATTCGAACTGGTTTAAAGATATGGCATCTGGACAATCAAATCTCTGAACCTTAATTGCAGCCTAACTGATTTTTCTCCAGTAACAATATATCTTAACCATGTTGCATTTCACAAAATGGTTGTTTTGCCATTTGAACTGGTTTAGGTAGTGTAATTACCAGTACCAATACTATGCATAAAAGGGTGTAATTTGCATTGTGCTTTCAATTCTTGCTAGTAATTCTGCTGTTATTGGACCTAGCCAACATCAAAGCTTGGCTAGTAAAAAAAAATTTGGCTAGTAACATCTAAGTTGTCACTAGCCACTAGGCTGGTAAGTTGAAAAGTTAGTGTCGAGCCCTGCTGACATCATCTTTGATATATTACTGTTCAGATACATTGCAACATGGAATCTATTTGTTTCATATTATTGAAAGGCAAAATATTGGTAAAGGTGAAATCCACATGCATCTGTCCTCCAGTAGAGCATGTGTAAGAACTAATCAAATATGTGCATGAAAAAAAAAGTACCCACTAAAGAGATATGATGGTCCAATCTTATCCATTCATGACAGTACTGATAGTAACCATGCACACTACTTCACTGGTTCATGGTACAGTTTGCAGTAGCTGGTTTACAAAGTAAAACTTAAAAAACTACTTGATAGTTAGAAAGTCTTGAGCGTGCAGAACAATTTGATACATAATTTATGGCAAATCATGCAATCTGAAATGGCACTCACTCAAAAAGTTCCTTGAGTAGCTGCTTTCAATAACATAATTTGTATTCTCAAGTAAGGGGCTTTGTGCTCACTTTCAGCAACCAGTATATCGATTATTCCTTGCAGTAATTTTTTTTTAATTTTCGTATTTGAAGGAGATCATTTGTACATTAAAATCACAAAAACATAGGTCACCATGCTTGTTCAATAGCAGTCACCTAGTCCATTCATGGGGAAAAAAAAAACACAACCATGTTCAGGTAACGCAAGCAATAACTAACCTTATTTCATGAAGTTATGTGCATTACAGGAAGTGCAGTGCAATAGTAAGGAATCGCCTTTTTCCATAGTTGTATTTAATAATTGAGTAAATATGGTGCATTGTTTATCTTTTCTTGAGAAGCCAATTTGCATATTTTGTTATCTGACAGCTTAGGAGTTTGCTTTTCTTATTATTTTTATCGTAGTCCCTTTGATGTGGTGTAAGGGCTTGACACTAATGGTAGCCAACTACCCACAGGCTAGTAGTTTACTCACCAGTTTGGCTAGTAAACAAACTGAAATTGTTGTAACATCTAAGTTGCCACTAGCCACTTGGCTAGTAAGTTGAAAAGTTAGTGTCGAGACCTTGGTGTTTTGGTGTACTTACTTAAGAGACAGAAGTCAATTCCTTTTGGGGTCGAATTCATAAATTCCTACCAGCTCAACATTACATTTATTCCACAAGACGTCAGTTTGTTAAAAAATGAAGTGACAAGTATATGAAATAACTGTATTGGTAGTCGTAACTTCTTCCCTAAACATTCCATGACAAGAGAACTAAGCTTGAGAAAGTAGCAATGCTGTATTTTAGGCAGACGTGAGCGCGGAGATCACTAATCATCCATCGACACGTGCTTTCAAAACAGTGCAAGAAAACCAAGATCGAAAAATCCTTAATGCAACTATACAATTCCAACTAATTTGTGACCTACGACCCACATTCTAGCCTTTTTAGAGCTACTTACCTTTCGAACTCGTAAAATTCCATGACTTTCGATAACCTTTTCCAGGAATATCGTTACAAGTTTGTGCAATCAAGTACTTGGTTTCAAATTACTGTCAGCATTCAATCATTTCTTTCTTGTTCCCTTGGGGACAAAATCAAGTTTTCACGACCTTTTATGAACCACACTCAACTTCTAAGGCTTTCCAGGTCAGGAGCATGATGTGATAAAATTCCTTGCGTGGAATATCCACGAACCCTAAACTGCAGAATGACGTTGTGACGTTGCGGAACATTTTCCCCGATTTATGCGTCTCGACTTTTGAGCTCGGAAAGTTTCAATATGTTTTATATATTCTCTGTAATTATACACAGTTAAATTTTGATTCCTAAAGCTGCCCTCTTCGATTCTCTTCACCTCGAGTCTTGACCCCTGCCCCGTTGACTTTAAAAGGTTAACCGCTGCACTACGACTAATCGTGACAGCAGTACCTGATCCCCATGAAATTCTATTGTTTTCTCTCTGCATTAAATCAACGATTGTAGTCTTTAAGATGACAAAACAACTGTATGAGGAAAACGGAGGCGGTCCTTTTCGTTAGCAGGGAAATTATCAGGGGTAATATAATTAAACGCGCTACATAAGCGTGCTGCAATATCAAAAATATTGCAGTGTCCAGGCTGTCGATAAAGAATTAAAGCACTGACAGAAATGTCCAAACTTTACACTACATTATCTTCGATTTCTGCTGAAATATCTGCCTTCGTAGAGCTCTGTGTAATAAATAATCCTTCGTCTTCCGACGAATCCATCCTCTTTCTAAACCCAGGTTCGCAATGAGTAAAATGAGTGAATTCCCTGATTTATAAAGTTTGCAAATTAACAGTGTTACACGCCTTACACGAATTAATTCCATCATTAGAACTGTTTTGAACAACTATAACAACGAGCTACAATAACAACCCTGGGCACAATTAAAATCTAAGATATATTCATCACAACGAAGAACAATAGCAATGAGGATCACAATGATCACACATAGGTGCGACTAAAATCGAAGATCCAACACAGACACAGAACAATGGGATTTCATGGGGATCAATAATTATAGTAGATAATTACTGAGGCACATGGCATTATGAGAAATATTGCAGCCAGCTGAGGACGTAGCAAGAACACTTTACGACGTCACGAGGGAACGTTACGGACAATGGCTAAATGGATGAAACCGAGTGGATCACCCGTCACCTGAGACTTGAAA